AGTGGGCTCAGTCAGAAAGCCTATCTGGACTGAATTCATGAAAGCCCAAACTAGCCTGCCCTTGCAATTCCTGTGGCTGTTCCTTCAACTAGTCCAATTATCTCCTTACTTCTCTCCCTCTACTTATTTGGCTACTTATGTATTTCCTTTTTTTTTTTTTTTTTTTAAGTAGGCTCCACACCCAGCATGGAGCTTGAACTTATGACCCTGAGATCAAGACCTGAGCTGAGATCAAAAGTCAGACCCTTAAGCGACAAAGCCACCCAGGCCTCCCATCCACTTGTGTATTTCTACCTTACTTTCTCAGAGGACTTCTTAAAAGTCCCCAGAGGGCAGGAATCGAGTTTCTTTCCACAGAGTACCCAGCAAAAATGCTTTTGTGAAATATGGAGGCAATATAATAGAACAGCTCAAACTACGGGGTCTGGAGTCAGTCCTCCTGGGTTTGAATCTCAGCTTAGCTATTTACTAGCTATGCTTTAAAGATACATAACAAATTATCTGACACTCCTCCACTCAAGACATGGAACTTACTTCCCCTTCCCTTGAGTGTGGGCTGGACTTACGGACTTGCACCCAGCAGACGAAATACAGCAGATACAATGTCCCATCACTTGGAGAACAGGTCATAAAAAGACTACAGCTTCTGTCCTGGGCACGCTCTCTCACTGCCCTCCCAGAGAATCTCTCACCCTAAGGGAAACCAGCTTCCATGTCCTGAGGACACTCAGGCAGCCTATGGAGAGGCCCAGAGGGTAAGGAACTTAGGCCTACAAGCAACCCCAACAGTGAGCATAGAATCAGATTCCCCCCACTCCACAACCCCAAACAAGCCTTGAGATGACTACAGTCCTAACCAAGAGCTCAACTACAACTTTACAAGAGGCCCTGAGCCAGGATGACCCAGCAGAGCCACTCCAGCACTCCAGCCCACGGAAACTGAGATAATAAACATGTACTGTGTTAAGCCACCAAGGTTAGGGTAATTTGTAATGCAGAAATACATAACTAAGACACAATGCGTAGGTGACAAACCCAAGATCCAATTTCCGCATGTGTAGAATGGGGATAATTATAAGTATATAAATCCTATGAGATAATAAATGTACATCACTTAGCCCAGGGATTGGCACATTTTGAGGGCTCACATTTGGGGGGGTTATCATCATCATCTGCTGTGCTTATCATTGTGGAGTTGTATTGTGTAGTGGTCAGAAAGTACAAGCTTGGAGCTAGGAGGGAGGTGATTCCTTTGTGGAAAGAGGCAGGAGAGGGCGCCTGGGTGGCTCAGTCGTTAAGCGCCTGCCTTCGGCTCAGGTCATGGTGCCAGGGTCCTGGGATCGAGCCCCGCATCGGGCTCCCCACTCGGCGGGAAGCCTGCCTCTCCCCCCTCCACTCCCCCTTCCTGTGCTCCTCTCTCACTGTGTCTCTCTCTGTCAAATAAATAAATAAAATCTTAAAAAAAAAAAAAAAAGTACAGGCTCTGAGTCGGCCAGACCTGGATCGAGTCTTCACGCTGCCACTTAGCTGTGGAGCCTCGGGCAAGTCATTCCGTCCCACTGAATCTCCAACATGGAGTTTCTTCCAACATTAGAACTTCCAGAGTTGTTATGAGGATAAAATAATGTATATAAAGTGCTTTGTCTAAAACACAAGGAAACCATACTTAAACAATCCTAAAACTATCCTTGGGTGATAAGGACAGTAACCCAGGGAAGGAACAAAGCACCAAGTACAACTTACTCTAAGTGGCCATCCGAGGTGATGAGCTAGCCTTCCTCTCTTGCAGTCTTGTAAACCAGTTTCTGGATGTTCACTCTCATAGACAACATCCTTTTGACTTTGGAGATAGCTCGGGTTTCAGCTCCTGCAGAAAGCTTTCTCCAAACCCTCACCCTTCTCCATGCTCCCAGAGTGTCCTGCCCGAACCTCCATTGTGGTACTTACATGGTCCACTGTAATTGTCCTTTGATGTCTGTCTTCCTTCCCCTGAGTCTGGAGCACTGTGGGGAAGGGACCAGTTCACATGAGGCTCTGTGGCTCTAGCACCAAGGACAGTGCCGGGCAAGCAGTGACTTCTCAGTGGAAGTGTGCTGAATGAGTGAATTAATAAATCAATGACCTAATGCATGGATCATGGTTTATTACTTTACTGCCGGTGGTATTTTTTTAATCTAAATGCTTCACCACCTATCTAACTCCCCAGGAACAACAACAAGATTCATTCGATATTGGAACTGTGGGCTGAGCCACATGTCCTAGGGTCAATCTACATTAGTGATCAAAGGAGAATAGGAAGTAGGGCATATATCCTCACTACATCCATGCAAAAACACATGTATGAATGCTGACAGGATTAGAAAACAACCAGGGGTGACAGAAATGATCAATACTAAATCTCGATGAGGTTATTTCTTCTTTAAAAATATATCTCTTGGGGTGCCTGGGTGGCTTAGTGGGTTAAGCATCTGCCTGCAGCTCAGGTCATGATCCCAGATCCCGGAATCGAGGCCCTGCGTTGGGCTCCCTGCTCAGTGGGGAGTCTGCTTCTCCCTCTGACTCTCCCCCATCTCGTGCTATCTCTCTCTCCAAAGAAAATAATAATAAAATAAAAATAATAAATAAATAATAAAATAAAAATATATCTCTTGGGGCACCTGGGTGGCTCAGTTGGTTAAGCATCTGACTCTTGATTTTGGTTCAGGTCATGATCTCAGGGTCATGGGATCGAGCCCCATGTTGGATCTGTACTCATCATGGCGTCTACTTGAGATTCTTTCCCTCTCCCTCTGCCCCTCACCAGCGTATTCTCTCTCTTTCTCTCTCTCTCTCTCTCAAATAAATAAAATCTTAAAATAAAAATAAAAATAAATCTCTTTCAGGGCACCTGACTGGCTCAGTAGAGTGTGCAACTCTTAATCTCAGGGTTGTAAATTTGAGCCCCACAGTGGATGTGGATATTACTTCAAAATAAAATCTTAATATGTATATATATGTATATTACACACACACACACACACACACACATATATGTATATCTTTCATTCATGTAAACTTTTACTATTGCTCACTCTGTGCCAGACTCCAGGCTATGTGCCAAGGACAGAGATGAGTAATGCCTGCCATCATGGAACCTACAGTTTAGTGAAGGAGGTAACACTCTAGAAGAGAATGCTGAATACCTCCCTGAAGTGTTAGCCCAGGGCATAGGGTCACCTTCTGGAACTACTGCCCCTGCTTTTCAGAAACTAATGAAGCCATCACCAACCTGACCTCCCCTCCATTAAATGTCTTTCTCATCAATTGTATTTCTACACAATAGCAATAAACTATTAGAAACGAGACTTTAACATAAAACATTTACAAGAGCATCAAAAACTATGAAATACCTAGGAATAAATCTAACAAAAGAACTACAAGATCCATATGCTGAAAACTGTAAAATGTTGCTAAGAGAAATTAAAGAAGACAAAAATAAATGGAGATATACACTGTGATAGTGGATCAGATTAGTATAACAGACCCCCCCATTTATCCACAGTTTTGCTTTGTACAGTTTCAGTTATCCATGAACAATCTTGATCCAGAAGCAGATGATCCTCCTTCAGACGTATGGTCAGAAGGTCAATAGTAGCCTACGTCATTCACCTCACTTCATCTCACCTCATAGGCATTTTATCATCTCTTGTCATCACAAGAAAAAGGGTGAGTCAGTACAATAAGATGTTTTGAGAGAAAGAAACCACATATATACATATTTTATTACAGTATATTGTTACAATTGTTCTATTTTATCACTAATTATTGCTATTAATCTTTTACTGTGTCCAGTTTATAAATTAAAGTTTATCTGACGTATTTAGGTACAGGAAGAAAATAGTATATATAGGGTTCCATACTATCCATGGTTTCAGCCATTCATGGGGGGTCTTGGAATATATCCTCCCAGGATAAGAGGGGACTACTGTATTGTTAATATGTGAATTCCCCCTAACTGATCCTAAAAATTTAACACAATCCCTATCAAAGACTTTTCTGTAGAAATAGGCAAGCTGATTCTGAAAGATAAATGAACATTCAAAGTACCTAGAATAGGCAAAACAACTCTAAAGAAAAAACTGAAGGACTCATACTACCTGATTTCAAGACACTATAAAGCTAGTAATCAAAGCAACATGGTATTGGTGTAGAGATAGGCAAATAGATAAAAGGAACAGAATAGTATCCAGATATAGACCAACACATATGTAGTCAATTATTTACAACAAAGGTACCAAACCCACGCAATGGAGAAAGGAGAATCTTTCTAATAAATGCTGCGGAAAAAACTGGACATTCAAATACAAAAAAAATTAACCTTGACCCTTACCTCACACGCCATATTAAAAAGAAATCTCAAAATGGATCATAGACCCAAATGCAAAACCTAAAACTTTAAAATTTCTAGGAAAAAAGCATAGAAGAAAATTTTTGTGATCTTAGATTATGCAAAGAATTTTTTATAAAACACAAAATACATAAATCATAACAGGAAAAAATTGACAAAATTTTAAAATTCTGCTCTCCCAAAGATACTTCTAAGAAAATGAAAAGACAAGATACAGGTCGGGAAAAAATACTTGCAAAATACAATTTTGATAACAGACTTACATCCACAACATACAAAGGACTCTTAGAAATCAGTAAGAATAAAATAACCCAATTTTTTTAAAGGGAAAAAAATTTGAACAGGCTTCACCAGAAAAGATATAGAGACAGCAAATAAGCACATGAAAAGATGCTCAACATCATTAGTCATTAGAGAAATGTAAATTAAAACCATAGGGAGATCCACTGCATGCCTATTGCAGTGGCAAAAATCTTTAAAAATAGATAATAAAAATAGTGTTAAGGCTGTGGAGTAACTGGAACTGTCATGCATTGCTGATGGGAGTACATAATGGTACAGCTGTCTTGAAAAACAGTTTAGCAATTTCTTATAAAATTAAACATATACTTACCATACAACCCAGCAATCCTATTCCTAGGTATTTACCCAAGAGAAATTAAAATATAAGTCCACACAGGGATCTGTAAGTGAATGTTCAAACAACTTTATTTTAATAGCCAAAAATGGACGCCCAAATGTCCATCAACAAGTGAACGATAAACAAATTATGGTACGTCCATACAGTGGAATATTACTCAGCAATAAAAAGGAATGAACTCTTTATACATGCAACAACATGGATGAATCTCAAAAGCATTATGCTAAAAGAAAGAAGGCAAGCTCAAAAGGCTACATATGGCATGATTTCATTTATATAACATTCTAGAAAAGACAAAGCTGTAAGGACAGAAATCAGATCAGTAGTTGCCAAGGCCTAAGGGTAGAAGAAGGGGATTGACTATAGAGCAGCACAAGGGAACCTTTTGGAGTGCTTAAAATATTCCATATTTTGATTAGGATGGTAGTTAAATAACTGTATACATTTCTCAAAATTCATCAAATTGTATCCCTAAAAAGAGTGAATTTTATTGTGTATAAATTATACCTCAATAAAACTGAATTTAAAAGAAAATAACCTGGGATGTTGATAATGGGGAAAACTATGCATGTGGGGGGGGCAGAAGGTATATGGGAAATCTCTCAACCTTACCCTCAATCTTAGTGTGATCCTAAAACTGCTCTAAAAATATAAAGTCTTAATTTGAAAATAAAAAGTAGTAAATGTATTGGAAATGCATCTCTTCATGAGATGAATGGGATGTTATAGGGTTCAATTAAAGTAATTTTGATATTTAAAAAAAATAATAAAGAAAAGAAAAGGATCTTTTTCATCTGCCACCAAAACCTGAAAACCTGTCCCTGGGAGGCAATCTGGTATAAGAGAAAAAGCACAGACTCTGGAGTGGAACAGACCTTGGCTTAAACCCCAGCTCTGCACTTACTAGCTGTGTAACTGGGCAAGTTACTTAACCTCTCTGAGTAAACTTAGTAAAGCAGGGATATGAATAGTAACGCCCTAATATGGTGATGATTTAATGAGATAATGTACCGCCTGATAATCCTCAAAGTGATAGTTTCCCTTAGCACACCCCACTCCTCAAACCCATAGTGGGGATACCCTCACTAATTTAAGTGCCCCAACAATGGTGACAGAGTAGAGTTTGAGAAGCAGGTTGGACAACATAACCCTAAACCATTCAAGGATTAAAGTCGGGGGGACAATGAGGCAAAGAGCAGCGATGTCTTTTTTTAAAATCCCTCCAAAAGATTCATTCGCAAGAAGTCTTGGTTCTGGTTGCCAGCAGAAGTCTATGTGTCCAAGAATCTAAAGATTTTCATTCTGAAAAGAGTGGTTCCTAAGGAGTAGAGATGACACCAGGACAACTCTGGCCTCCTGAAAGAGGGGTGGATGTTCCTCAACCATAGATTCATTATCTGGAAAGGGGGGAGTGGTCTCAGCATGCTGAGTGGGGACTCAGGCACAAACTTGGCTTTGATTTTTAAAACTGTCTTCTTGCAGGTATGTGTGGTAAAAGCTAGAAAGGGAAAGGTCACTGGGTATGGTCTCCACACAGAGAAACTGGGCCAGCTGCTCAGCCTTTCCTTAGCACCAGAACACACTCCCCAGGAAAAGATGTCAGTAACCTGATATAAGATAAGAACCTCCTTTTCCAAAGAGAAAAGTCACCAAGACATGCAACAATGCCAGCTGAGAACCTGGCATGGAAGAAGCCTCCTCCACATAGAACAGCACTGCACCTCAGAATCAGCATTCTCAAGACCTCAGTATTCAAGCTTGTGGAAATTTCGGTCCTAATAAAGGTGGTATTCGGATTAATGGAGGGGGAGGGAGATTTCAATAATATGACTTTGGGGCAACTGGCTCATCATTTGTCATACAAATAAAGCTGGGTTCTTACCCTCACTCCTTACACTAAAATAAATTCTAAGTGCATCAAAGATTTGAATGTAAAACCAGAAATCATTAAAGTACTTGTAGAAAACATGGGGGTCTTTTTTTTTTTCATCTCAGAGCAGGGAAAACATTTCTAAGCAGGATGTAAAACCTAAGCTCTAAAGAAAAAGATCAATTTGACTACTCAAAATTGCTTTTGGGGATTCAAAAAAAAATGGTATAAGTAAGTTTAGAGGAAGAATGCAAATGAAGAAAAAATATTGGAAATACAGGGGCACGTGGGTGGCTCAGTTGGTTAAGCGACTGCCTTCAGCTCAGGTCATGATCCTGGAGTCCCGGGATCGAGTCCCACATCAGGCTCCCTGCTCAGCAGGGGGTCTGCTTCTCCCTCTGACCCTCTTCCCTCTCGTGCTCTGTCTCTCATTCTCTCTCTCAAATAAATAAATAAAATCTTTAAAATATATATATATTGGAAATACATACAAAGGCCTAACCTCTTTAAAATAAAAAGAGCCCTTAAAAACCGTTAATAAAAAACATATAGTCCAATAGAAAAATGGGCAAAGGACATCATAGAAAATTTCCCCAACAAGAAATACAGAGGCCATAATCATAGGAAACCAAGATCAGTGTCACTCACAATGAAAGAAGTGCAAACTAAAACAAGATGCCATCTTTTAAAGGATATTTGACACAGAAATGTTTATAATATAAAAAAAGGAGATTATTAGAAGGCCCATCCACAGAGGGCAGTTAAATAAATAATGGTACATAAATAGAATTAAATATCATGTACCTATTATAATTTCAATGCTGATTTCACTCATACTGATAAGGATGAAAGCAGTCTGTTGAGTAGGAGATAAAAAATGATTTCAATCTGTGGAGCAAGATTCCATTTATCTAAAAGGGTACATTTTTATCTGTTTATGAAGAGGCGCACAGAGCTATGTCTGGAAGAAAATTCACCAAGGGAACAGCAGTGATTGCCCCTGGGTAGAGGAGTTTCAGGTGATTTTTACTGTATGTCAAAAAGGCAGTATCTTTTTTTTTTTTTT